TGTCGTCAAAACAAAATATTAATCTTTTAAATTACTCTAAATGTATGGGATTTCGTGCACGTCGAAAAGAGTAACAATGTTTTATTTTATTCATCAAAATCCTGAAGATATTTGGTAAAAATGTACATTGTCTTAGAATTCTAATGACTTCTAGTTTCCAAATTAGCCTAATGAATGATGAAGTTTGCGGGATCATTTGAACTTCTATTGAGTTTGGTCTTGGACACCTTCCCTTTTCTGAGGGTCACGGTTTCACTTCACTTCCCCAGAATAGATGTGTCGCGCATTACCTGTGTGTCGTACTATTAGTGAAATGAGTGTACTGAAAGTAGTATCACAATGAATGTTATTTTTCTACATTTTTCTTGTCATGTGGCTTCTGAACGCTTCTACAATATTTCATTAAAATTTATTTTTATTTTTTTCTAACCAATTTATCCTACGCACGCCTATATATTCTCTCTTCTATATGAATAAGAGCTTGAATTCTCGTACCATTAACTTTCTTCCAATGTGCGCACTGTTCAATTAAATAGCGTGGAATGATTGACAGGAGGTTTATTTTACCGTTAACGGGTTTGTATTGCCATGGTACCGTTTGGTAGCAGCAGGGAATCTTACTGACTGCCTACTTTGTTCAATCGAGTGGGACGATATATGCTTCAGTTCAGTCTGAGTTTCTCAGCTATAAATAAACTAATCAAGTCCTTGCTGCAGGGAAGAACTTTATTTTAATTAATTTTCGTACACCTTTTGCTCATTGAGACAAATAAGGTTTAAAATCGCTATACAACCAAAATAATCAAACTCATAAAATCAAACGCCCGACCGGAATACAATTTACCTTCCTACACGCTTAGAAATACTCAATCTTACATCTGACGGAATCCATCTTTGATATAACGTCTCATTAACAAACATGTCATGTAAAATTAAGTTCTCCGAGACTGAAAAGTGCGAAAGTATGTTTGATTGTACTTAATTTCACGTCTATTATGACTCAATTTTATGTTAAAATTGACGCTCGTTTATGTCAATTTCAGAGCAGCTAATTTTACATCTATTTTTCTAAGTGTGTTTAGGAAAAAAATCAGACCAAAAATGACCCCAATGCACTAGGAAGGCTAAATAGGGTTCTATGTGGGGCAGAAACAAACAAAATGGAACCGAAAAGAGTGAGTTACAAACATACACACATACATTCATTTACAAACCCTCCAGACCTTAGATCAAAAATGTGTGTATTCATGTGATGTTACATCCTTTCTATATACTCCGGTGTATGAAAAAGCCAATTAGGAATTTAGGATGAAAGATGCATTTAGAGCCTGAAATTGAAACAGTTAAGCCCTCAATTTGGTGTTATTAATACTGGGGTGTCTAATTATCATTAAAATAAAAAACAAATAACTTTTTCATTTGTCATCGTTGTAGATAAGCTTATTTCAAGCAACTGACGTTTTTCTTATGAAAGTATTTGTCGCTCGACGCAAGATACCCAATCATACTACCACGAGAACATCGCGTGACGGAGCTCCTGCTGGATTGGTATCACCGAGAATTTCGCCATGCTAATGATGAGACGGTGGTAAACGAAGTTCGCCAAAGGTTCTACGTAGGCAAGTTGAGAACATGCGTACGAATGACGAAGACTCGATGTACGTGGTGTCGAGTGTACAAGTCGGTTCCAGTGACGCCGAAGATGGGACCACTACCAACCGTGAGATTGACGACACATGTCCGCGCTTTCACTTTCGTCGGAGTCGATTATTTCGGGCCGTACTTAGTCAAGGTTGGACGGAGCGTGGCTAAACCTTGGGGAGTGGTATTCACGTGCTTGACAATAAGAGCCATACACATCGAGGTAGCAAGTAGCCTGACAACCGATTCATGCAAAAAGGCATTGCGTAGATTCATTACTCGACGTGGAGCGCCGCAAGAGATTTACTCCGATAACGGTACAAATTTTGTTGGAGTCAGCCGGGAGTTGCAAAAGGAAACGAAGGAGATCAATGCGGAGTTGAGTAGCACGTTCACGGACACTTATACGCAGTGGAGGTTCAACCCACCCTCAGCGCCACATATGGGAGGCTGCTGGGAACGAATGGTCCGGTCCATTAAATCGGCTCTTGGAGCGATTCCTTCGGAGCGTAAGCTGGATGACGAATCGCTGGCAACACTCTTCGCTGAAGCTGAGAAGATGATAAACTCGCGGCCGTTGACTTTCGTTGCTCTGGAGACTTCAGACCAGGAAGCGATAACTCTAAATCATTTCCTGCTGTTGAGCTCAACTGGGGTTCAGTAACCGATTAAGGCCCCGGTTAGTGAAGGAGAGTCGCTAAGAAGCAGTTGGAATATGATGCAGTACACGCTGGACAACATCTGGCGAAGGTGGATCACCGAGTACCTGCCGACGATAACCAGGAGGACTAAGTGGTTCCAAAATGTCAGGCCGATTAAAGAGGGTGAGTTGGTAGTCATAGCGGATGAGAAGGTCAGGAATAGGTGGTTGAGAGGTCGGGTGGTGCGTACGTATCCTGGTAAGGATGGGACAGTGCGACAAGCTGAGGTGATGACTTCGGGTGGCATACTACGAAGGCCTGTCGTCAAGCTTGCACTACTGGATGTGGAACCGGAAGATGACGCCTAGCGGAAGCTGAGGCGACATGAGGGGGAGGATGTTGCGTGCAAGCCCCTCGGACAAGTGAGCCAAAAGGATGACCCAACCGGTACAACGAACGAACGTCAGATGTAGGGAGTATACATAGGTCTATTGTCTATTGTCTGATTGAAATTAGTTGATATTGTATGTGAAGTGAAATACTCGAGTGAGGAGAGAAAGAATTACCCTTAGCCGAATTTCGTAAGATTATTTACTAATTTGTTCCTATGAAATACCTTAAAACTATTGAATTTACAGACTAAACCTACAGATTAAAACTAGATCTTAAAGATCCGTATATTGTTCGCACCTAGAATTGTTTGGGCACTAAATTGTAAGTACGAATTTGTTGAACTATTCAAGCTGGTTAATTAATCAATAAATTTTTACAGCTTGAGCCTGTCTTGAACCATAAAAGGACTTTGCTTCAAGAATCCCTAACGTTGCGAACAATACCACTTCGGTATACAACAGCTAACTTACTGTGCTACACCAACGTACTGTTCTGCGAGCTCGAACGTCTAAACCAGGAGGACTTTATTTACATCGACTTTTTGAAAGCGTTCGTAACTGTCTCGCATGCCGTCTATGGGTTCTCCGTATTGGATTGCGGACTAAATAATTTCATATCTAACGAGCGAAAGGCATTGTGAATTCGTCACGGTCCAGTACGTTCAACATACCATATTGCGTACCGCAGGGTAGTTTGCACTTTGTCCTCTTCATCAGGGCTTTAAACAGTTCACGTTTTTTACTACACTCGCTTCGTTGTCGTGCGCGGCAGTCTGTTTGTATTCGTACACTCATGCTCTAAAGTCGTCTTTCTCATACAACACAACCGGTAGAACTACATTCGAGCAAAACGAATATTATCAAATAAGTATCATACAACTCAATTTTGTGTAAATTAAACCATTTCTGATCAGAATTGTTATTAGTAGAACATCACTGCTTGCTATTTTCAGAATTCACACAAGTACAACATAAGCAGCTCTTATTATGAGAAAAACTATAATGCATAAATACGTGACGGTTTTCGACGATAATGTTGTCTGGCAGAGACTGTCATATGACATTTTAGTTTGGTACTGTACTTTTATAAAGTGTTTTGTAAATTTTGGAAGCAAAGGCAGTCGACTATCACAGAAAATGCGTCGACTACGGTGACCGCTTACCAGTGCTGCAAAATCCCGACACTATACGGTGATATTGACAATTCTGAATTGTTCACTCATTTGAGCTAACAGTCATTGTCAAGGCAAACCATGTCAATTGTCAATGACAATACTGTCAGTGGCGAAAATGTGTACATTTTTCTATTAACTAAATTTGTAACGAAATTAAATGACAAAAGTAACACAATTACATGGAGCCGTTAAAGTGAACAAGCATCTAAATCCTGCTTGAATAACAATTTATTTTGTTAGTAACTTTTCACTCAGTTGTTGAAATTTTGTTTTTCTTTTAAGTAATTGATAGCTTAGGATCATAGTTTACTTTAAATATTTAAAGAATTGGTAAATAATAAAAAAAAGTAAAATAAAAAAAATAAATTAGTGATTTCAATGGTAAAAAGGAACACCCTTGTATAAATTGAAACCACAATAAAGGCTCAACTGAAAGGAACAACTATGTAAAACTTTTTTTTTTTAATGTTTCAGTATCAGACTCTAAATGCATCTTTATTATAATTCACATTTTAGACCACTGTGCAGTGGTGCGTGATCTCAACAATGTCATTTGACATTAGATATTGTGCCAACACTGAATTCCACTTGTGACACTGATATTCCTAGCAAGCAGAATATCGGGTGGTACGGGGTTAATACTCCAGTCAATTTACAAATCAATAGGCGGCAGTTGAAAATCATGATTTTCTCTCAATTAACACTATTTATTGTAACCATAGCATTCTTTTAATTGTACCGATGACATTTACATCATTACCAATGTCATTTTCGCACCGACATTGAGGCGAATGACATTGATCTTGTCCTATTGACACAAGCGGAACTGATGCTGCTATTTTGTGACTAGTGGAATTTTCATAGTGTAAACAATGTTAACATTCATTTCAGTGCAGTCCGTTCTTTTATCGGAATCAAGATTGCAAAAATATAGAAGGGAGCAAATAATTGCCTCTTTTTCGATCAAAGTTCTATCTTCTATAAAAGTGAAACATCATACATCATACTTATTAGGACCAATATTGTTTTCCATCACCACATACTTGATTAACATTACATATGTGTGTGTATAAGTAAAAAATGTATGTGTATGATGGAAACTGAGCGAAAAGACATTCCCTCATAAAATGAATCATTACATGGCTTCTTACCTTTAGGAACAGTTCCGGAAGCTTACGCTTTTATCGCTCTTCCGGGTTTCAATTGATATAATCCTTTGCGCTGCTAGGAATTAATGTCTGAGCTCTCGCCAGGCCTGCAGTCTGGCATAGGCTAAGGGAGGTGCTCTCCACGTTTACGTGGTTGGTCGGGTAGTCCTTTCCTTTCTGAATCTTTCCGAAGGGAATGAATCTGTAGAAAAATAGAAACCAAGAAAGGAAGGAAGAGCCATTGAGAAAAAATGATTTATGGTGATTTATTCGTAGAGTAGCTCCTTTCCACGAGCTAAAAGGATGGTCGACCGCACAACTTCTGATCCTTTTTCCTCATAAAAAGCCCCCTCGCGGTGAAACCCCAATTTTTACAGTCCCAATGTGGCGGCGATGAAGTGAAAAGCGAAAAAATGGATTTCAACTTTTTCACTTTGTAGATTTGCGGAATTGCTCTCTCGGTTCAGGTATTTTTGGACAATTTACGTTGATCATGTTTGAAAATGTGGAATGCTTTATCATTCCACTAGCATGTTACATTCAGATTGTTACTCCACCAGGTTATCATTTTTGTTTTATTTTGAAAGCATTCCAAACGGTGTGTATAATTCGTGTGTTGCCCACACAGTTAGGAAAAAGGACATGTTCAGATGAGTGCGAACTCAATTTTCATTGATCTTCGTATCCACTCTGATTGTGGGATTGTAGATAGTGAGAAAAAGTCTTTTGTGTTCTACTTCAATGTTAACAATGGTGGCTCAGGGTAATAAAAAGGAGTTTGTTCCGCATCACATTTTTTCTTAAAAAATCAGAAAACCACGGAAATAGCTTGGCATTTTAGCAATATAGCGTGAGTTTTGTTGCTATGCATATCAAAACTACTCTTAGATGAGACAAGTGGATGATTAAAAACAATCGAAACTTAATTGAAAAATTTTAGTCAACGGTACTCTAATGTTGGCCTATGAATCTAAGATATGACCCATCGCTAAAAATCTGATATTTATCAATTTTATCTAGATGAACGCGTCACTGGGACAGTACTAATGGATATTTTTGGTTGCTATTGAAAATTTAGTCGATTGCTGAATTTATGTATAGGCCCAAATTAGGCATTAAGGCCGACATTACATCCATTTCCCCTACGACAAAAGAAATTTACATAACTAGCTAAAACACATTCGGAGAAAAAAAAAACATAGTTTACGCTTCAAGGTACAATGGATTCTGTTTATACGCGATTTTTTGTCGGCTCTGGTTTTGTTCGTATGATCACAAAATTCAACTAAATTTAATACAAATTGTTTAAAATATCAATATAACAATCAAAGTAAAATATGGAAAAGGAAAACCGCTTTAAACAGAACTGAGTGTAGTTGATGATGGCGATGTTGTGACGAGTATTTGGACAATGACGGACACCAGTCACATTGCGCAATTCGAAACGATTTTTTTTTTATATACGGTGAAATTCACAATTCTGCTTTGGCCACTCATTTTTTATTAGCTTAATTTGTAACAAATTTTGTTTTGTTCATTACTTTATTTGAACATGCTCAATCGAATAAACTTTACCGAGCCAAATCAACAGTTCCGTTATACATTATTAACGTCTAAAATTATTATTATTAGTGGATGAAAACTTTATGGATGTGGAGAGGAAGAAGGAGATTTGAAGTACAAATAAATACAAGGATATTCAAACTTTCAATCTAAGGTTAATATTCTTCAAGAAAACATATATGAGCTTCCTAAACTCCAGATCGCGTCCAGCCAAAACATCCCGAACTGGAACATTTGGTTGTCTACCTCGAGCCCGAAGGAAATCGTTCTGCTCAGATCTGACTCCACAATTCTCAGCACATGACCAAACAATGTGATATGCGTCCTGGTAACCTTGTCCACATTCACAGAGATTGCTGTTCCCCTGCCCATCACGGAACAAGTGAGCGTTTAACGAATAGTGATTGGACATGAGGCGAGAAATCACACGAATGTAGTCTCGACCCACCTCCAACACTTTGAACCAAGGATACTTCGACACCTTAGGGATGATCCAATATAGCCATCGTCCCAAACTCCCTTCACTCCACTGACTGTTGACGATAAATGAAGAAAAATTCGATGAAGGTGATCTGTCGATCGTAAATATCACCTTCCATAGCGCACACCTTCGCAAGCGAGTCCGCTTTCTCAATGCCCGGAATCGAGCAATGAGTTGGGACCCATGCAAAGGTGATGACAAAAGATCTTGAAGATAAAGAAGCTCTCGTATTTTCATGAGAAAATGCGAGGAGTGCTGTACCGGCCTCATGGAGCGATAGCCTCGACAGATCTGAGACTATCCGTAGAAATAAAATAGTGATCTGCTGCAAGTGAAGCGATAGTTTCTAGCGTATAAAACACAACTGGGATTATGCTGCGACATCATGTGTTATGTACACGTAGTGACATAAAACGAGTTTGAGGGTTTAGCTCACGAAGCTTCTAAAAGTTTGCAATCACCAGTAATTTCATAATTTCACACTGGGTGAGGAGCCTAAGGGATAATTCCGAAAATCAATCCGAGAATGGCAGCATGCCCGCCAACACTTCGAGACCCATCGTATGATTCGAGTGCATGCATCCTAACGCGATACGAAGACAGTGATACTGGACCCGTTCCAGTTTGATGATGTGAGTTTAAGCCGCCGACTGAAGACAAAAACTACCGTACTCTAAAACCGATAAAATCGTTGTCCGGTACAACGTTACAAGATCTTGTGGATGAGCTGTCCACCACGTTCCGGTAATTTTTCGGAGAAAATTGATCCTTTGTTGGCATTTCCGCTTCGCTTTGGGATCTCCAGGTGTATTTGGAATGGAACCAGACCCCAAGATATTTTAAGGACATAGAATGAGTGATCGGTTAACCCAAAAGTTTCGTTTTGGTTGTGCTGGGCTATGGTTCCTAGAAAAAACGACCAAGTATGTTTTCTCCGTGGAGAATTCGATATCTAGCTGAATAGTCAAAGTATACAAATTGTCTAAGGTCCTTGCAGCTGTCCCATCGAGATCGTCAAGTCGACGATGACAGGAGTACATACCGTGGTAGAGGTAACAATAGCTGCAATTTCTAAACCTACGACTGGATACCTTCCTTCAGATAACAACTTAAGTGCGGTAAAAATCGATAGAACTGTTTCAAACACATCGTCGGTACTTGAGCATGTCGGTGATCATCTTTTTTTGCCAGTGGTGGCAGGGGGAATACCCCTCACCATCCCTCTCCAACGGGGGAGTTAGGTAAAGAGAGATGATTAAACCGATTTGTACCTTTCTAAAGTTGTGCTTGATCGCTTTCTACTCTCTATATGAAATTTTCACACCTCCGTACTCTAACGGAACTATTAATTCTATACCTTCATTTCCTTATCTATCGTATAAAAAATACCACTTTAGTCTGTTATTTGAATTTAGCATCTTCAACTATGAAACTATCATTCTACGGAATTTGGTTACATCACTTATCAGCTTTAAGCGTTATGCTGCCATACAATCACCGAATCAACTTATTGACATTGGGAAAGCCAATATGGGAAACATTTTATCACTTCATGTGACAACGACACATGTGCTGTTCCAAATGGCATCTTTTATTACGAAGCAATCCAAAGCAATGGCTTTCGTAGGTGGTGGCTGAGCCAATTTCTACTAATGTTTTTTTTTTGCGCACCTTTAATATACCAAAAAGTACTTGCTAAAATGCGTCGAGTTTTTTTTTCATACTTGTTGTTTTGTTGTGGTGTTACTTTTTCAATGTAGTATAAGGACTGTTCATAAGCCACATGGACACCTTAAGAGGTGGGGAAGTATTAATTTAGTTGATGTTTTTGGATTATCCTAGACATTATGTACTTTGAAAACTCATAACTCATGAATCAAGCGACTAGAATGAGCATTGTGTGGTAAAATTATAAGGAAATTACCTCACCAAAACTAACGACCCGGAAAATGTTGGTTAAACTTTTTTATTTTTTCTGAAATTTACAAATTCGTAACTCACTGGCAAAATTTTAAGGAAACTATCTTAGCAATCTACAACCAATATAAACTGGAAAACTTTTCCCATGAGCATTTTTTACGATGGAGGAAAATTGCACAGAAAATCAAGGGAACCATTTTCCGAGCGAAGTATTTTTTTCCAATAACTTTTCTCTTAATTGAAGATGTTTTATCCTTCACTGGTGAACATTACAGATAACTTTCCTCAACACTCCGAAATTTTCACCCGTGACAGAGATGATGTTTTCAGACATAAACAATCTTAGACTCACTTTAATTACCCTGCCAATGCATTATCCTGATATTTCTTGCGATTTTCTCCCATCGTGGACATTTTCGTGAATAATTTTTTACCAATTATATTTTTATTTATAATTTTCTTATCATGTTCTTTCTTTAATGCTTGGTTCATGAGTCATACATTTTCGAAGCTCAGGAATATAAAAAAAGCTTCATCTAAAATTTTCAGAATAAATGAACCTCCCCGAATTGTTTGATTTTTTTTATCGTTCATATAACCATAAACTCTACCTATGGACAAAATGTCACAAAATTTTGAGACTCTTCGCCCAATTTGGCATCTGTTATCCCCGGAGAAGTGGCCAATTTCTGACTAGGCTGAAAATACATCATGCGATACCTCAAATCACATGACAATGCATCGATCACCTCACATCATATGAGCACTTTTGTCGGAAGCAGTGCTGAGATTTGTCATTGTCATTGACAGAGTTTCGCGCGGTATTGACAAAATTGTTTTTCCCATAGTCACTGATAGACTTGCATTACATTATTGTTATCCAAGCAGTTCAGGATGAAGATGCTTGTTCACTTCAACGGCTTCATGTAATTGTTTTTCTCAAGCTATTTAAATTCGTTTAAAATTAAGCTAATAACAAAATCTGCACATGTTCGTCGCTGACAGCATTTTCACTGAAAATTGACATGGTTTGCCTTGACGATGACTGTTAGTTCTAATGAGTGACCAAAGCAAAATTTGGAATATCATCATGCATTGTCGAGATTTTTCAGCACTATTGGGAAATTCTATTAAATAGTAAGAAGAGTCAAATCTCACCATAGGTGGATTAATTCAGGGTTTGTTTTTTTTTCAAATGCGCAGAAAATAGTAATATATAAAATAAAAAGGAAACAT